CTGGAGGAGGTGATGAAGAATGTGAAGTGGATTGGGCGACACGAGAATGAACTCCACCAGTGGTTCGTCGCCAATGCTGCTAAATTGTGATGTGGAAGGCGTGGTGGAGGAGGTGGTGGAGAGGGTGGTGAAGGAGGAGGAGGAGGTGGTGGAGGAGGTGGAGGAAGAGGTAGAAGACGAGGAGGAGGAGGAGGAGGTGGTGGTGGAAGGTGTGGCGGAAGGAAGGAAGAAGGAGGAAGGGAAGATAAAAGGGAGTAAGGGATGTTAAGAAGATGAAGGAGAAGACGAAAGGAAGGAAGAAAGAGGTATAATAAGGGAAGGGAAGAGGATGAGGAAGAGGACAGAAGGAGAATCAATCTGCCTTCTACCTCCTCCTTATAAAAAAAAAAATCGAATTAACTCGAAACAAAATTATATTGCATCTGATCCTGGAAAAAAAATAATCTGAATTTCAAAGTCGATAAGAAAAAAAAAGAAGAAGAAATTTTCCCTTGCCTCGTACTTCAATAGCATTTAATTCCTGAATAGAAGCAAAATTTCAGGCACACCTATTAGTGCTATTTTATATAATTATAAGCTTCATCTAAGTGCTTATAAGTCTCACATGTACTTATAAGTGGCATCTATGTACTTACCTGTATACATAAAAGACATATTTTCTTTAGCATTTCAGAAATAAATTGGTGTGTTGTAAACGGCTATTGTGCTTAACTCTTAGGTTCTGAAACCCTCAATTCATGTCGGTTCTAACTTCTTTGCCGATATTTTGAGAAGGCATTTCCTCAAAGTAAACACATGCACATATGTATACGTACCCGCACATACACATACATACACATACACATACATACACATACACATACACATACATATACATATACATAAACTTACACACACACACACACACACACACACACACACACACACACACACACACACACACACACACACACACACACACACACATACACTGACATACATTCATATTAAAATACTATATATATAAATATATATTTTTTTTCATTTAAAGCAGAAGTTCCATTTGCATTTTCGAGAACCGTTTCCAGCACACGAATTCCGAAGGTCACTTAGGAGTCACCATGCCTTCGTTCTATGGAGGTCATAAGGGTCATTCTAGATGGGTACATCAGTGTGTTTTCAGCTTTATGAACTCCCGTGTTTGTGCTCTATGTTGTTGATTCGAAACATGTTGCTGTTTTTTTTTCTCTCTATTTCTCCCCCACCCCCCTCTTTTATCCTTATCTCTCCTTTGTATTTTATTTTCGTAGGTGTAGTTGCAGCTGAGATCTATGTAGTGTCAAATTTTATTAGCTTTGTATATAACACAATTGTATATTTTTGGAACGTGCATATTTCCTATTCATCAGTTATTTGTAAAATTATTTGTTATAATTACCGTCAACTATGTCTATGACTTTTTCCATGTTATTTACTATATGTGTGAAAAAAAACAAATGACACATTAAAAATATATGTATGATTATTTTCTTTTAATTCCTGAACGAGAAAAATTGGTTGATATGTCTTGCAAATGACAAAAAGAAAGAAAGGAAAAGGAAATAAAAATCTTGGACACGCTTAAGTCTACGTCTATGTCATATACTTTGGTTATTTATACATTTTACTTCGCTGAATTTATAACAAAGGCAACGTTAACAATGTATATATATTTCATATACGATTTCCTAGAAAGAAAAAAAAAATATATATTTGGAAATTAGTGTGGACACTGCGACCAAACTTTAAGGCATTGCTATTTTGAGCTCTGTGCGTGAAGGAATAAAAATCAAAGTCCTTCATCATTGTTATTCTGTTTCTGCAAAATTACCATTACTAAATAAACCGTTTTTAAATTTACCCCTTAGAATATCGTATGATAATGACAATAATAATTTGAAAATGTATATATCTTCATATTCTAGCCTTATGCAGAAATTAATAGAGCTCAAAGCACCACATCATTAACACATTTTTCTAAAGAGAAACGGTAGCATTTATCCCTTGGAACATAAAGAAAGAGAGAGAGAG